CAAGTGCTGGGATTACAGGCATGTGCCACCACACCCAGCAAGAATAAAATTTTTGATACTCATGTTTTTTTAAACAATCCTAAAATTAATTTGGAGGCAGAAGAGACAGAATAGCAAAAGCAGTTCCTGACATCACAATTCCTGACTTGAAATTATACTACAGAACTACAGTGATAAAAACAGCATGATACTGGCAAAACAAAACAACAACAAAACCAGACCTGAAGATCAATAGAACAGACTAGAAGATGCAGAAACAACTCTAGTCACACTCAGCCACTTTATCTTTGACAAATGGGACAAACACCTTCAATGGAAGAAAGCCTCTTTAATGGTGCTGGAAAAACTGGCTTACCACACGCTGAAGGCTAAAGCTAGACCCATGTCTCTTACCATGCACTAAACTAAAATCAAAATGTATCAAAGATCTAAATATTAAAAAAGAAACATTAAGTCTTCTGGAAGATAGAATAGGTAGAACTCTTGGAAACCTAGGTGTAGGCAAAGAGTTTATGAACAAAAGCCCAGTGCCACAGGAAATACTACAAAGAATCAACAACTGGGATCTCATCTTATTAAAAAGCTTCTGCACAGAAAAAAAAATCCACCAGTAGAGTGAAGAGACAACCCAAAGTGTAAATATATTTTTGCTACCTGTTCCTTAGACAAAGGACTAATATCTAGAATATATAAAGAACCAAAAAAAGTCCTCTCAAATTTAAAGATTCAATCCAAAATGGACATCTGAAATGAATAGACACTTCTCAGATGAAGAAGTACAAACAGCAAATACAGATATGATAATGTTCAATATCACTGGTCATTCTAGAGATACAAATTAAAACAACACTGAGATTCCATCTCACTCCAGAAAGAATGGATACTTCCAAGAAATCGACCAATAACAAATGCTGGTGAGGGTGTGGGGAAAATGGAATCCTTCTCCACTGTTGGTGGGAGTGTGGACTGGGGCAACCATTGTAGAAATCAATGTGGAGATTCCTCAGAAAACTAAAACTAGAGTTCCATTTGACCCAGCTATTCCCCTTCTGAAAGGGAACAGCAACACTTAGCAACTAAGGCCACACACACCGAGAGGTCTGACTGGAGATTTTATTCAGGGAGTGGGAGCAGAGAGGGAGGAAGGGAAGGAGGAGGGGGAGAAGGAGGAGGGGGAGGGAGAAAGGAAGGTCCTTTTATCAGTTTTGGGCTGGACTATTGGTTATTTATGAGGAGTGAGCTACTTTTAACCTATCACAGGCCAGGTTGCCTTTTATGGGTCCAGCCCTGCAGAAACAGGTTTCAACTTCTCCGGACCACTGTGGCCTTGGGTGGGTGGGGGGACTAGAGATAAGGGCATGAGGTCATTTTAAGAGTGAAGAAGGACCAGGAAAATGCAGCCTGCAATGGCGGTGTCACAAAATACTTTAACGTGATCAATTCCCTAACACCTTCTTTGTATATTCTCAAAAGAATTAAAAGCATCATACCACAGCAATATATGTATATGCATGTTTATTGCAGCACAGTTTGTAATAGATAAATATTGAAAGCAGCCCAAATGACCATCAACCAATGAATGGATTAAGAAAATGTGTGTGTGTTTTTTTTAAATACAGTGGAGTGCTACTCTGCCATAAAAAAGGATAAATGAGGGCTGGGGATTTAGCTCAGCGTTTCGGTGGGCTGCCTCACAAGTGCAAGGACCCGAGTTTGATCCCCAGTACAAAAAAAAAAAAGAAGGATAAATGAGACATTTCTAGGTAAATGGATGCACCTTGAGACCATACTCTTAAGTGAAATAAATCAGATACACATGGAAATATTGCATTGTTTCTCTGGTGTGAGAAACTGAAAGTGTAAATAAGGACCAAAATGTATAACTGATTTCGGGAAACGAGATGAAAATTCTTAAATGGGAAAGGTTAACTAGGGAGGAGTAGGGGATGGAAGGAAGGGAAAAGGAAAAAAGAGAATAGAAGGGAAAAATAGAAAAAATGTTGATGGGAGAAATTCTACATAATTCTGGGTAAAAATCATTTGATTAGGCCTAGTTCTCCTGCCTATAGGCCAGCTATAGCATGTCCAGACATAACTCCATTTTGGCTTTGAGTCACAGCTAAGACCTCAATGGTCTGGTGATGCTGTGATGCTCCAGGACAAGATTACACCAGCTGAAGACATCCTGGAAGAAACAAAATCTTCATCTGCATAGTTCCTCATTGTTCTAGGATTTCTGCTGCACCCCCCCAGTCATCTGTTATACTTGTTTGTCCCAATGCACTGAAGCCTCTGTCCAGAGACATTTGTTACATTTGTTTCTCCTGATGTACTGAATAAGGGTGCGACAAGCTGGGTCAGGAGGTTTTGGTCTTTGCTGCCCAGGGCAGCACTGAGTAGGCCCAAAGCTCAGCTTTTTCTCTAAGTCTCATTTTTTTCTACCTTTTCTGTCTGATAAACTAACTTGCCTTGTGCTGCCATGGCTCACAGGAGACTAGGACTTACTGCAGAAGTTCTAGTAATATCCCTTTTCCCTGTTCCCTACACAAAGTGTTTGTGAATAAGGAGGGGAGGAAAGGTTGAAGGGAGAGGAGGGAAATGGGAAATAGGAAAAAATGATGAAGATATATAACATACAGGTACACATTCCCTATGATGAATGTTATCATTATGTATATCTAAGATGTCCCAATAAAATTAATTTAAAAACCCAAAATTATAGTGGATACATTGAAAGACAAGATTGCTGCAATCAAATATGCTGTCTGGATAAATTTTCTTTGTAGTATTTTGCAGGTTGTTTACATCTTTTATTGGAGTGAATTCATTAAAATTTCAAATGGCAAAAAAATAGTACTTGATAATTTCAAAAACTTTATAAGCTATGTTGTGCTAACTTATGTCTTTTCCCAATTAGCAACTTAGTAATGTTGACCTATAGTGCCCCTTATTATTATCATTATCATTATTATTATTATTGGTAGTAGCCATCAAAGCAGAGGTGCTTTACCAGTGAGGGGCACTTCACCAATTTTTTTATTCTGTTTGTGTGAGACAGAGTCACACTAAGTTACTAAGAGGGGGATTGAACTTGTGATCTTCTTTCCTCAGTTTCCCAAGTAGGTAGTATTACAGTTGTATAGTACCATGGCCAACCAGACTTGTAAATTCTTGTGGATTTAAATCTAATTGCAATATGATGGCTTCAAAATATTAAAAAAATACTTTTAATGCATTCACTTACTCATTTAATAATGCTGCCCTTTCTGATTGTTGGTTTGCCCAGCTCTATAATTGTGAAGATTATTGAAAGTATATGCAAGGGCCATGGATTTAGCTCAATGGCACAGCACCTGCCTGGCAAGTGCAAGGTTCTGAGTTCAATCCTCAGTACAAAAAAAAAAAAAGAAAGAAAGTATATGCAAATAACTTTCAGAAATTAGAAACTAAAATGTAAGTAGTGTAAAAATTGCTATTACAACTATATACATTTTAATCTGCAATTTAGTATACCATTTTGTCTCTAAATCCACTGTTTTTTGCCCTTCTACCTGTAGCAATATGGTATTCAGAGTTTTTCTTACAGGTACTGTAAGACTTAAGTCTCACTTTTACTCCTGGAGCATGACCAGCCAACAGGCTTCCACGATGCTGGGCTCAGAAGCTCAGCGAGGCTCCAGGAGCTTGTCGGACAGCGAGAGTCACCCAGGAAGGAACACACCAGGCAAGTTGGCAAATAGACCTTTATCAGTCTGGCCAGACGGCACTCCCCAAGCCAAGTACCTCAGAGAGGAGGCCAGCTCAGAAACAGAGGCCATTTTATAATAGGGCTAGGGAGGGGGTTTACACTCAAAACTTACAGGAAGGGGGCAAAGGCAAAGAATCAGTTGCTCTGAGCTGGTGGTCATCAAGCATATACTCGACCGTCACATAGTAATGATCAGCAGAGTACTAATGATCAGCAGATCAATTATCCATTATTCCATTTACAATTTAGATTATAATGTTCAGAACATTCAACTACAGGCAAGCAAGGAGTGGCGTGATTGATGTTGGGTCTCTATGTTCACTACAGTTTCCATTTATTTAGTTTACCAGCTACTTCAAAGCAGTTACCTAACAATTCACAATGAATCATTAGTTATCCTATAAGGGATGGGGGAGTGACAGTCTTTAGGTCGTTTGCTGGTCAACATGGAGTCGCTCTAGTTCAGTTAGACTCTTACAGTACAAGTCTCTTTATTTGATACTATGTGGAAATCTTGCCCTTGAGTTCCAGTGTTATCTCTCTCAGGTATTTTTTTGTTTTTGACAAAATAAATCCATGCTCTCCACTTGTAGCATGATACCTAGCATGTGCTGGAAACCAGTAAAAGGCTGTCATGTGACTGTAGGTTGATAAAATTTTTGGTGGGTAATTAGCTAGTGTTTTTCAAAGTTTGAGTTTGTGTGTCTTCCATTCCACTAATTCTACTTGTATGAATGAGATATAGTTGTGTATGTGTATAAGCATGTTCACATTAAGAATAAAACCAAAATTGAAACAAAACTGGAACGAGCTCTTGGTCTATCAAGTTAGTTTGGTTAAATAAATTATGGTACTTTTCACTGTGTTATTTATAACGAATGAAATGTCTTCCTGCCATTAAAAAATAGGGAGATAGATATATGTATAAATTCACTAGGAAAATCAACATTAAATCAATATATTTACAAAATATATTTACAAAATGGAGCATAGGCTGCTTTTATATAAGAGTTTAAATGTAAGTGTAAACACTTGGAAACATGTCGAAGAAAACATAAAGACCCAGGGCGGCGGGTTTTACCTTTTATTTCCTGCCTTGTACAGAATTTAAATTCTGAAGGGTGCACACACCAACGGATCGACATGTGCTCCCGGCCTCCGGCTAAGGAGGGCGCTGTGGACACTTGAGTCCTGTTTACCATCCTGGCGTCTAAAACGACGTGGCGACGTAAACGTGACGGGCAGGGGCGCAGGCGCAGTAGCGAGGCACCCGAGCGCTTTAGTTCCGGTTCGCTTCTGTGGTACGGAGGGCGCCGGCGCTACGGCTCTGACTCGTTTGGTGTCGGGAGGGCGGTTTTTCTGGGCCCACATGAACCAATGGCATCACGCCCGCAGCGGCTGGGGCCGCGGACGCGACGCCTCTGGACGTCCTTCAACCAAGAAGAAGGGTGGAAACCGCATCCCGGAAAGGTAATGGGGCTTAGGTCGGGATCTTGGCCCTCCAGGCTTGTAGCTTCTGAGCGCGGCACAGTCTCGCGCTCTCGGCCTCACCCTGAGCCCCGCCGCGCTGGCCCGGGCGTCCCAGGTGACGGGCCTGTCCCCTCCCTGCGCCGCCTCCCCCGGTATCCGAAAGGACCTGTGTGGTGTTGTGGTTTCTCCTCGTCCGTAAAAAGAGCTTTGTCCTCCTCGGGTAAAGTACAGAAGGACTGCCCTAATGCGGGAGTATTTGTGTTGGGGACAGTCCTAAATTACTAAAATGCTTCTTAGCCTCAGCTACTCAAGTTATGTTATTTTGCCACAGAAATTCGAGTCAGAGGTTTAAAGGGAGCCCCGCCCGAACGGCCTCACAGTCGACCTGAAGTCTCACTTGAAGAGTTTGTTGGAGTGTTCCCAGGGATGACAGAGAACCTGGCGCTTCCTAACATGTGTCCTTTGAGAAATGTACTTTAAAATAGTTTTTAAAACTTGGCTCGCCGGGTGTGGTGGTACACACTTGTAATCCCAGCACTTGGGAGGATCTCCATGAATTCAAGGCCAGCCTGAAACCCCCCAAAACAAGAAAGACTTTGCATGTGTGTTTGGTGACCCCCTTCTACTCCGTCAGACCTTCTGCCATCTTATACTTGAAGTGTGTTTCATTTTGTTTCCCCCCTTAATTTTTGTATCTTTTTTTTTTCTTTTTTCCCCGTACGAAGATTGAACTCGGAACCTTGCGCTTTCGAGGCAGGCACGGTGCCACTGAACTAAATCCCCCGCCCTCCCCAATAATTTTTTAATCTGTCACCTCACCTTTAGTGTCCTAATGCAGATCTTGACTGACCTATTGTAGTTAATTGTGAGTAGCGTCCATATATCTGCTCTTTACTTCCTTACAGTCCATGAATAACACAAGAACTCTTTTAGATAATTATTAAAAAATGAAATGGAACTGTCATTGGAAGGTAGATCATAGACATTTCTGTAAAGCATTGTTTTAAGCATAGAAATGAAAGTCAGGTGTGCCTATAATGCACTGGGGAGGCTGAAGGAGGATTCCTGCCATTTCGCGTTTAGCCTGGTCTACATAGTGAGTTCAGGGACAGTCTGAACTACGTAACAATGGTCTATCTAAAAAAAACCCAAAAAAACAAAAACCTAAAACTTTACCTTAAACAAAACTACAAAATAACTCCTTTTTATGGCCTGTAATATAAGGGTTTGCATGGTTGGGATCCTTTCTACTTCTACAGTCCCATCTCTTGCCACTCTTTTTTTTTTTCTTGCCACACTTGTCCTCGCTTTTTTTAAAAATTGTAAAATATACTTGACTAAACTTACTTAATTCTCACTCATTCTACAGAAGTCAGCTCAAGTATTACTTTTTTCACTGTAATTCTTAGCATCACTAAATGAAGTTCACAGTTGCTGGTTTTTTTTGTGTGTGTGGCTTTTACTTTTTAACTTTTATTTTGAAACTTTTAGTACAGTTACTGTTTTTATCAGCTGTTCTCTTCAAATATGGATTTGAAGTTCTGATTGAATTTAATTGTCTAAGTTGTATAAAGAAAAACTTAGGAAGTGTATGTATTAGTGATACCTTCTTCTTTGGTACTGAGTTATATTTTTATCGAAGATATAGACGTTCTCCAGCTTTTTATATTCCTTAAGTATGCAGACTTTTGTGCTTTTTTTTTTTTTTTTCAAAACAGCTGTTTTCTAGATGGCATGGGAAGGAGAGTATCTGTTTTTACAGGGTAGGGATGAATAAGTTGAGTGGCAAAATGCAAAGACATTCTGGGTATGCTGTAACTCCTGTTTTCAAGGAGCGTTCGTTCTATGCGGGGTGACAAGGTTAAAATACAATTTGGTTGGGCCAGGGATTTGGCTCAGTGGTTCTGCAGCCTGCCTCACAAACACAAGGGCCCGAGTTCGATCCCCGGTACCAAAAAACAAAACAAAACAAAACAAATACAATTTGGTTGACAAAAGACATATCTACTAGGTGGAAAGACTATCTTCCAGTTGGACAGCGGATGCCTGGGACTCGTTTCATTGCTTTCAAAGTACCTTTGCAAAAGGTAAGCAGAAGTTAGTTCAGTATTCTTTTAGAAACCTAAATTCACCCTGTATAACACTGATTCTCAATCTTTTCGCATTCCACTTCCTGTTTTTGTAGCAAATATATTGTAATGTCCTGGAATTAACTTCATAAGTGTGTATGATCTACTTCCATATGTAACTTTAAAGAAAAGAAACCAGGTAACATTTTCTGTAGAATATGAAGGATAAAATGGGTTCATAATAAAAATATGTTTTTAGTATATAAATACTTGCGTATGACTACGCTAGAAGATATAAAGAAATGGTTGATTGCATCATCAGTGGAAGAACTATGAATGCAGACTGGTCTAGGTGAGTTATATTTCAGTGGTGGAGGCTTCCGTGATAGCAAACAACTCTTAGTAGATTGCTAAACAAAACAAAGTACAACCTTTGTTGATAAAACAATTACTATCCTGGGAAATTTAATATACATTAAAATTGTGCGAAAAATACTTTAGTTGTGAAATGAAGTCAAGTTCTAAGGCTTAGATAAGTAGGAACAGTTTTTGCTTTTTAAACCTCTTTAATGTTTTGTTTTGTTTCGTTTTTTTGTACTGGGAATTGAACTCAGAGCCTCTGCTTGCCAGGCATGCACTATACTTGCTGAGCTACATCCTAGGCCCTAACCTATATTATTGTTGACTAGGATGTTCAAAGTCGTTTATGAGATGGAACATACAGACGTATGTATATATCTGTATATATTTATTGCAAGTGCCTTTTTTTCTTCCTTTCAATCACTAGAAGACAGATTTATAATATAGCTTCCGGAAGAATGGAAACTTTCCTTTGAGTCTCGCTATGTTAGTGTCGTATGCCTTGGAGTAGCTACGTAATACAGTTAGAATATAGCATACATTTGCTTTCTCTCATTTCTCTCAGAATTTTGAAGTGAATCTTGCTCCAGAAGAACGCTTTTCTCTTTTGGATCTTTTTAACAAAATCCAAGAGCAAAATGAAGAGCTTGGACTGATTATTGATTTAACATATACTCAGCGCTATTACAAACCAGAGGTAAATACTTAATTGTGTTTATTCTGATACTTAAATTACTCATAGTAATTCAGTAATAAATGAGTAGTTTTCATCTTGTGCTAATATAAAGTCTGGCCATTCATGGGTAATAGTAAATTTTAAAAGAGAACAACTAAATGGTTTCCTTAGCTACATGTTTAAATTGTCTCAAAATGGGATTGGAGACATGACTTAAAATATAACATTTGGTCATCATTACCACTATCTATATGGAAATTATTTCATCATCCTCAACAAGAACTTTTTAACCATTAAACAATAATTCCCTTGTTCCTTTGTTCACTCCTTAGCCCCTTGTAACCTCTAATCTTCACTTTCTAGTTCTATAAATTTGCCTATTTGTAGGTACCTCATGCAAGCATGTGATACAATGTTTTCCTTCTATTTCTGGCTATTTCGCTTGCTGTATTTTCAAACTTCATTCATTGTACCCCATATCAGATTCTTTTCCTTTTTATGGCCAAATATTCTATTGTGTATACATGCCAGGTTTTATCTATTCATTTATTGGTAGACACTTGGATGATTCCTTTGGCTATTGTGAGTAATGCTGCTATGAAGATTGGTGTACAAATACTTGTTCAGATCCTTGCTTTCAGTTGTTTTAGAGGTATCGTAGGAGTGAAATTGCTGGGTTATATGATAGTTTAACCTTGTGAGAAATTGCCAGAGCTTGACAATGTCATATTCTTGCTTTTAAGCTATTCTAAACATATACATTCTGAACATATACAGAAAGAAGTATACTTATTAGTGTTCATTGTACACCCATTAATTCAACTTTTTTGTTTGTTTTTTGAGTCAGGATCTCACTAGTTCAGGCTGGACTTGAACTTACTGTGTAGCCCATGCTGGACTCAAACTTGCAGCAATCTTCATGCCTCAGCCTCCTGAGTGCTAGGATTATAGTCATGTGCCACCTCACCTAGCTCATTCAACTTTAATATATATCAAGTGTGGACTATTGTGTTTAGATATACCCTTGCCTCTACTCATTATTATTTTAGAACAAATCTCATATCGTATAACTTTGTCTCTGTATCTTTAGTATATATATTTAAAATATAGTACTTTTATTCCTTACTATTAATTCTTCAGTATCAAATACCCAGTCTGTAGTACAACTTGGAATTATCTCCTAAATGTCATAAAAAGTTGTCACCGGGCATTTAAGTTGGTTATGTCTTAATTTATAGATTGCCCTTCATGTCTGTGTCATTCTTTTATTCCCCTCCTTGTTGAATTACATGTTTTGAAAAAAACAAGTAGTGTTTGTCCTCTTGATATGTTGTTAACTGCATCTCCGTGAGTTATTAACTTACTTTCTAGTCCTTTTATTTTCTGCAGATTGGTAGTTGAACCTAGTTTAATTGGAGTTCAAGCTTTTTTTTTTTTTTTTGGCAAGATATTTTATAGGTATTATATGTTTCCTTTTCTTATAAGGCTTATAAATGAGTGGTTTTCTCTATAATATAAGTAGTCATTGATTGACCAAGTAGTTTTTGGGGCACATAAAAATGATAAATTGTGTGTTTTTTTTTAAATTCATTAGCCTAGGTATAGTTCTGCAAAGAGGAATTTCTCCTCAACAGCTATTTGGTTGTCCAGTTATGCAGGCATGATTCTTTTTATTAAATAGTGTTTGAAATAATGAGTTGATTCACTAATACCTTCTAGTGATAGTTAGATTTTATTTAACTAATTTAGATTTTGTGTTATACACTCCATTGCGGTTGTCTCTTATTAAGGCACAGTTGAGGCTTTGTCTTTTAGACATTTGGAGCATCTCATTTTGGCTCCTTTTGGTACAATCTTAGTAGTCTTTGATCACTTTTTTGGTATTTGTATGAAAAAAGTTCCAGCACATCTTGTAATACATCCAGCCTCAACCCAAATCATCCATTGTAACAAGCTGCTTTGATTTTTTTTTTTAGTGGGAGTATTTTGAGACTACAGTCTGAGTGCTAAGTTTGTACTGGGCTCACCATTTTCCTAGGCTTTTTCTGTGGGTAGGCCTGTGAACTGTGTTTGTAATGTAAATTACATCATGGATTCACGCTTATACTTTCCATTTAAACTTAGAGCTACAGGATTTTCAGTTACCTTTTCTGTCTCTTAACTGTGCTTCATTTATCCTTGCCCCAAGAATATTTGTGCTTAACAGCTGATTTATGGAGGCATTGACCCTTAAAATGTGAAATATTAGGTAGAACTGCTCATAGAATTCTTAGTTATTCTTTATTTGTATTCATTTACCTGGAATTAGCTATGTCTTGTATTCTTGTTGACTATCTGTCCTTGAATTTTATCAGGTAATATGTATTGGTTGAATCAGCCTTGGAAAAAATAGCTTTTTCATCAGAATTGCTGATATTCAGAATTTATTATAGTCTTTTGGCTTATCATCTGATTGTTCTTTAATTAATCTTTAATTATTTTTCTACAAGTAAAATTATGTATATTTTTCTTGTTTTACTTTGTAGGATTTGCCAGAAACTATTCCTTATTTTAAAATTTTTACAGTTGGGCATCAGGTGCCTGATGATGACACTATTTTTAAATTCAAATGTGCTGTTAATAAATTTTTGAAAGAAAATAGAGATAATGGTAAGTTTTTATATTTTAAAAAATTAAATTTTGATTACATTTTGAATGGCGTTGGAGGGTTTTTTTTTTTGGTTTGTTTTGTTTTTTTGGTACTGGGGATCAAACTTGTTGGAGATTTTTGATAGTTTTAAATTTGACATTAAGTCTGTAATCATTTTTCCTGTTAAGGTGAAAATGTGAGAAGTTGATAATACAGTGTTTTCATTTTGTTGGTCAGAAAAAGTTTGCTTTGGTAAGTGGTTTTAGCGAGAAAGTGAACTGAACTAGCTTACTTATATAACAAAAAAATCTTGTTTTATCTTCTTTGTTTGTTAAGAGAAGACAGATTAAAAAAAAAAACAGAAAAGTCTCAAGATCTGAGAGTTACAGAAAAGAAACAGCAAAAGGCAAATGTTAGGAGTTAATCTCAATTACAACCAAAATAAGATAGTGTGGCCATTAAATTGTACACTTGTTTTACATATTTAAGGCATGTCCGTTTTTTTTTCACTTTGATTACAGTTTTGTTTGTGTTCAGTATCAGAAGTGAAGACTGGTCTGGTCTGCTCTGTAGCTCAGTGTTTAGAGTATTTGCCTCTAGTACTGCAAAAGAAAAAAAGAGGGAGGCATTGAGACATGGACAGAAGGAGAGAGAGGGGAATCAATAGATGAATGAACAGAAAGAAAATTAAGGCATTTCATTTGTTTCATTCCAAAACAAGTTTCATTCTTTTTGACACCTTTTGTTTGCTTTACTTGCTTCCTCTGTAATTAAATCAATTCTAGGGCTGGGGATTTAGCCCAGCGGTTCAGTGGTCTGCCTTGCAAGCACAAGTACCAATCCCTGGTACCAAAAAAAAAAGAAAGAAAGAAAGAAAGAAAAAAAAATCAATTCTAATGAATACTTTATAGTAAGATAAATGATTTTGTCTTAGTGCAGTTTTAGCTGTTAATACCTGACCAGGCCTTCTGCAGTTTACATCACTGGGTCTTAGTAGGGGCTATGCACATTTTCTTATAGAAAGTAAATAAATATTGGTTTTCTGGTAGGTGATTCTGTATATGTTCCTGAAAAAGGCATTCCTTTTCAGGGTATTGGTAATATTATAGTAACTTGTACATGCTACTCGAGAAAATTGTCTAATTTTAGTATATCTATTTCAGTTATTTCACTCCATTTCTTGCTTTATAGACAAACTTATTGGTGTCCACTGTACCCATGGTTTAAACAGGACTGGCTACCTCATCTGCAGGTGAGTTGCCAACCCTAGAGGTAAACCATGTTTTAAGTTATTTTTGTTTGATTACAGTGATACTGTAAGCTTGATCAGTATAGAAATATGTGAAGCAGAAAGCATTCTTGTCTGCCACCGAGAAGTTACCATCTTTAATATTTTAATATATATCTTTTTTAAGTTTTCCGAAATGTAGATAAAAGCATATATGTGCTATAATATGCTATTTAATGCAAAGTGTTGTAGACATGTTTCTGTGAAAGCTCGTATTCTTTTTAAAAGCTGCCTTTTTCACATACTGATGAGCATGAAAGAAGTCTTTAATATTAAAGTAGTGTATATTCCTCTGTGAACATCTTTGAATACATATGGAGTTGTTCAGAGATAATTTCACTTAGAATGGATTTTGTTTGTTTGTTTTTGAGACAGAGTTTCACTTTGTAGTTCAGGCTGGCTCTGAACTCACTGAGTAGCCCACACTAGCTTTGAACGCACAGTGATCCTCCTGCCTCTACCTCCCTAGTGCTGGGACTACAGGTGCGCCACCATGCCCAGCTCGAATGGAATTTACTTTTCATGGATATTTTATGGACATTGTGCCTATTTATGTTTCTTCATTCAGAAGATGTAGAACTACCCTTTGTGAAGGAATAGGTATGAGTCACACACATGCATATAAAATTATAACTGACAAGTGTTGTGTGAAGAGACATGGTGTTAGGAGAGATTATAATGGAAAAGATTCATCAAGGGTAGGGACTACAGGTTTCCATGAGGAAGGTTGAATTGATACTAATCAGGTAGGACACTGGAGAGAATTGTGGCTATAAAGAACAGCACAAACCCTAAAACAGGTCAATATACACTGTGTTGGAGGGTATCTGGGGTAAGTATGATACTAGAAAGAAGGTGGCAGTATAAGTAGGAGATAGATCAGGCAGAACTGTTTTAAGGCTTTGTTTTAAAGACAAAGAAAAACCACTGAATTTTTTGTTAATGGTCTTTGGAACATAATAAAGTTTTGTGTTTTTAACCTATCATTTTACTTCTGAGTGGAGAATGCACCACAGAGGAAAGAAGTAGAAACAAGGAGTCAGATTAGGGAACTTACAGGAAATGAGGCATAATGGTATCTTGGAGCAAGATGTGGTAGGTATTTTGGTGGAAAATGTGATTATACTCCAGAAATTATTTAGGTAATATCTTGTCACAATTTGATGGTGGGGTAAAGATGAGAATGAGAGGAAATGGCTGACAGTGATGATGACTCCTATTTCTGGCCTGTACAGTTGGTTACAATATTTTTTAGATATGATCTTATTATTTTTCCCAGTTTGTCTTTTGCATGTTGTTGGTTCCTGATAAATATTCTGTCATATTGAGGAAGTCTTTTGTTTTTTAGTGTACATAACATTTTGTTCAAAAATGCCTCATGAACTTTTTCAGGTACCTATTAAATACCTGCCATTTTGGGCCTGTATTTTCTTTCCTTTCCACTTTTAAATTATTTTATATTAATAAATATGTACTTTTATTAGTAGATTTTCTAAAGTTGGGTCATCCTTGCATTCTTGGAATAGTCTTTTTGTTGTTATGGCATATCATTCTTTAATAATAGTTGAATTAGATGTGCTGATATTTCCTTAGCATTTTTATGTCTCCATTTATAAGTGAAATTGGACCTTTTTTGAAAAAACTTTTTCTTTTTGTATATATAAATGACCCAAATTATGTTGTTTTGTTAGATATTTGATTGATGTAGAAGGCATGAGGCCAGATGATGCAATTGAATGTAAGTATGAGGGTTGTCACTATTTTTCCTTTTTATAAAAATTAAAGGTAAAAATGTAAATGAATTTCTCAAATTTTGAAAAATTCGTAATTCATTTGCTCCAATGTAAGATATTAAAAACAACAACAAAAAAAAAACTCTTGGGGCTGGGGGTGTAGCTCAGTGATAGAGTGCATGCCCAGCACCAAAAAAAAGAAAAACCCCAAAACCATATAAGATAATCTTTCACCGAAAGTTATATAGGGATGTATCTGGAAGTGATGAGCTGTAATAGCCTAAGCAATTAGTCAGTGATTTTGTTTTTATCTCTCTGGGAAAGATTTGGTTTTTCTACAATAATTTCTAACAATTCATCCACTCCTCAGTATTCAGTAGGTGCCGAGGACATTGCATAGAAAGACAAAACTACATTGAAGATCTTCAGAATGGTCCTGTCAGAAAGTGAGTCTTTAATTTCATATGTGAAGTTTGTGGTTCAGGAGATCTCTTTTTTTTCTTTTTATTGAGTTTATTGGTACATTTTAGGTATACAGTACAGTTACATTCATTATTGGGATCTTGTACCTTTACGTGACAGGTCTTGGTTCTCATTTTTTCCCCTTGTCCCTACCCTCCCTTCACCCCCTCCTCCCCTCCCCATTAGGAGATCTTTTTTTTATATAATTCAAGTTGGATATATCCATTCGTCTCATAGGGTGTTCCTTACTGGGAGAAACCTAAACAAATAAGAATGAGAAGAGGAAGAGATTATTACTTATATAGGTAAAAAATGGAGTAATTAAATTGGATCCTAAATTTGGAAATTAATAATTCTGTGTGGAAATGTTTTCTTTGAGGAACTGGAATTCCAGTGTATCCCGATCAAGTGGTTTTGAAGACTCTGTGGAACCAGTCAATAGCAATAACAAGTCTGTTAACCATGGACTGAGGTACAACCTGCAAAATCCACCTCCTTTCCGGCGTTTTCACACCCAGTACTGGCAACAATCAGTCAGGTACCTCTGCTTTCCCTTTGTCTAGAACTGAAACAGAAATTAATACTATTAATCAATGAAAATATATTATGATAATGATGAGGAATTAATACATTCTTGTTGGTCCATATCAACAAGCAGTTATCATCCCCCTCTGTATTTTGGAAAATCAAATACAGGATAGACAATTAGGAAGAGAATTTAAAAACTCTTAGTGATTTTAAACTTAGTTTAAGCCAACAGTTTGATATGGCTTCCAGGGATAATCTTGCATTCTTAGGCTATTTTAATTTTGGTAAATTTTCAGAATGAGAAAGGCTGTTATTTAAAGAGTAAATGCAAATTAAGAAAAATAATGAAATCCTAATAGAGACATTTGCAAAGCATTTAAACAGATTAATCACATTTGTGAAAATGGAGCAATCTCAGTTCAGTGAAAGTAGTTTATTAGAGTTATCCAGAAAAGCCAGGTCTAGTGGTACACACCTGTAATCCCAGCACTCTTAGAGGCTGAGGCAGGAGGAACACAAGTTAGATCTCAGTCTGAACAACATAGCAAGTTAGTGAGACCCTGTCTAAAATGAAAAAAGGGGTTGGGAACATAGATCAGTGTAAGGCCCTGAATTCAATATTGTATCTATATCTATGTCTGTGTCTATTTGTCTAGAGAGAGGGAGGGGAAAAAGAGATATGAGAAGGGCTTTATTAGGGTAATTGGCTCAAGCAATTACAGAGGCAGAGAAGTTCCACAGCTGGCTATATACAAGCTAGACACCCAAGGATGCCTATAGTATAACTGTCCAAGTGAGAAAGGCTCCACGCCAAGCCACCTTGTAACTTGTAGTTCAAGTTCTGAGGCCAAAACCCTGACAGAACCCTTTGGGCCAGGGCGAGTGTTATGTGGGAGAGGGGAAGGTGCAATGCTGGTGCAAGTCCTAGAGTCCAGAAGCTGAGTTTTAATATCCAGAGGCAAGAGAAGAATATCCCAGCTGCAGCAGAGAGGGCAGATTTCTGTTCAACTCGAGCTATTTGATTGGTCCTCTCCCACACTGATGGCTAATCTTCCATCATTAGTCCACCAGCTCAAACATGAGTCTTTTCCAGAAATACTTGTCACAGATATACCCACAAAAAAATCCTTTTCCATATATCTGAGCATTCTTTAATTCAGTCTGATTGATTCCTAAAACTTAGGATCACAAAAGAAAAACCTTATTCTTTGACTATATAGCAACAAGTTTTGATGAGAAGTCCAGTGGAATATTTATCAGACTGGATCTGGATTTGCCTCCTGGCTCTGCCATTCACCTACTTTGTGGTTTTGGGTGAGAAACTTAACTTCTCTAAATTTCCATTTCTTGTCAGGTGGAGATTTTAATAATACACAACCCATAACGGGTTGTTGTCAACTGCATTATTAGTTAAAACAGTTTAGCACATTGTAAATACTTTCATGAAGATTTTGGCATTTTTAAGAGATGTAAACATTTGAAAAAAGTGGTAGTGGCGTAGAAAACTGATTTAACTCTTTTGAAAAATAATTTTAATAGCCATAATTATACCTGTAATTTCATCTTGATCTAAGGAAATACTTCAAGAACATGGAAAAGGCTGTATTCATTCAGTCACTTAGTACTTTTGTAAAACTCCCCAGTATGTCTCAGATACTGGGTTAGGTACTCAGATACAATAGTATATATTCCTGGATATTAATCTCAGAAGTGTTAATTGTAGTTGCCTGTATTCCTAACAATGGAAAATAAAGTAATTACAGTATATCCATACTACAACATTTTGTAAAATGTTAGTGATTGCTCACTTATGATAAGCAAAAATAATACTGTGATTCAACATCAAAAAAAAATGCAGTGAGAAAAAGTAAAAGGAAATGTTAACAAGTTGAATTAGATTAAATGGGATTGAGAAGTTTTGGAGGTTTCATTTTATCTGATTTCTAAATTTTTATATGATTATATATATTTGCTAATCTTGGTTTTGAAAGAATTAAACCCTGATTGTCCTAATTTGTTGCAGATATCATGGCTACACTTTTAAAATATTTATTTATTGATTGATTGATAAAATAAAAATAGTTCTGTTAATATTGAATAGCTTATTCTGTTTAACATCAACCATGCTAAAGTTTTGGAGGGAATGTAATCACTTCACCTAGTATGGGCATGCGTTCATCTCTGTAGGGAAGAGCGGACAGCTGCTAGGAAACTGTTTGTGCCAGCGTATTGTAGGAAACTTAAAATATATTGTCTTAATTTATCTTTATAAGAGCCTGTGAAGAGAGGTTAAGAGGTCCATTTTATAAAGAATGAAGAGATAATGGAATTAATATGAGAAAAAGAAAAAAATGGAAACAAAACTTTGTAAATAGGGAGGGGTGGAGGGCTTGAAGGGAAGGCAGAGGAAGGGGAAAAAATAAGAACCAAGATATATTATGTAAAGGTACAAATTTCCAATGATGAATGTCATTGTGTACTTAAAATGTACCAATAAAGTTAATAATAAAAAAGAGTGAAGGGATAGAAGGATAAGTAATTTATCTACAAATGTCAGGCAGGAAACATTAGAACCACAATATGGATTGTTTTATAAGGCTTACTGTATTTTATTCTAATAATGGTTTATTACTTCTTGTTTAAGAAAATTTTCACAAACTCAGAATGTTTACCAGAGATGTCCTGTGCCCCCTCCTGGCCCTGCTGGAGAGGACTATTCACAAAGGAGATACTTTTGGAATATGAAGCCAAATGGTAGTCAAGCAGCTCAGAATAAGAGGTGGTATTCTGGTGGTTACCAACGTCTATCTTCTCCAGCCTATTGGGGATGGAACAAGTGATAGAGGCTTGTCCTGGAATTCTACCTGCTGAACAGAGCTGGACTGAAGATTGCTGGAGTTATTTTCAGTAAAAATCAGGTCAAATTATTTTTCAGGTCAAATGAGGTTTTTTAAAATAACTTTATTGCCTCTTATGTGTTCCAGCTTAAAGGAAAATTGTGAAAATTTTACCTCATTGCTGATAAATTTACATTAATTATAGCAATGCAAAAAACAAAACAAAACAAAACCTGGTCATTCCAGTCTTAAATTTTTCTAAAGGAAGACATTTTAGATCTGATAAAAATATTAAGATCTTCCCTTGCAAATTATTTTTTAAAATTCTATCCTTTTTTCTATATATTCTCTTCTGGTTAGACTTGTGTTGATACACTGATATATATATCTATATATGTATATATAGATATATATATATACCCCATCATTAAGGGTATCTTTTTTTCCCCTAATTGTTAAAAGTTTTACTAAAATCTACATAGAAAGACAGTTTCTTTAGAACCTAGTCACTATCTGTATTAGTTCTGATATTTTTTGTGGTTAGGTATTTCTTTCTTTGGCAATCAGTATTTGGATTTAATCAACTTCCTTTTGCTGAATTGCCAGATGTGCCGTTAAAACACAAAGATGGATGAAAACATTAGGGATTGTTAATTGGGCAGTAGAGATAGACTAACTGGAGTGCAGGTTAATCAAAGGATAATTTTCCTGACAGGGTTAATGTCATCAAAGGGGTTGAACTATCCAGAAAACTTGAAAACTTTTATAGATTTATAGAAGTTGCTTGGTGAATGGAGTAAGATATGACCACAGATTTCCTGGAATATCTGGGAAGACTGTTATTCCTCCTCTTTTGAACATAACTCTGGGATCTTTCTCCAGTTGCCTCTTACACTGGAGTGGTGCTTTACCTCAGGAATACACAGGTAGATCACTTGAGAGAATGTTAATAATTTTTAGTTGCAGAGGAAGTTAGAAATCTTGGCTTGCTTAAGAAAGTATCTAAACATGACACATAGTAAACCTCAGTGAATATTTGAGGAATACTTGGGCAACTCAGATTCATTTTTTAAAGCCTCTTAATTTTGAGTATCATAGAATGTCTAGTACTGTATATGATAGTTGTTTTATATATGAACAGTGTGTGGAACCTGATCTTAAGGAAGTACTGTAACCCAACTGTTCTCTTTGCCTGTATCTAATTCGGTCATGTCGTTCTACTTCAGCTAAACAATAGCCATAAAGTTTTCTCTGCTTGCTATATTTAACAGAGATACAGAAGTTCTTTATGTTACAAGCCTACTCTTGTAAAATTATTCTCCAAGCAATATGAAGGCTCACATTGGAAGATGTTCAATCAAAACAACTATGAGGCATAAAAACAAAACAAAACCATGGATGCATATGGGAATTTACCTAGTTCTATAATTGTAAAGAAGGGTTTGGCAAAGTGGGCATGGTAGTGCACACCTGTAATCCTAGCACTTGGGAGACTGTGGCAGGAGGATCACAAGTTTGATTCCTACCTGGGCAACTCAGCAATAAATAAAAAAGTTTGGAGATTTAGCTCAGTGGGAATTTTCTTGATTATGTTGCCCCCTTTATATGGCCTCATTCAGTTATCAGCATGACTTCTTAAAAATCTGCCGTTTTATATCTTGTTCCCATTTATTATTATTTTTTTTTTTTTTTTGTACCTGGGATTGAATTTAAGACATTGTGCTTATGAGGCAGGCAGCGGAGCCACTGAACTAAATCTCCGGCCTTATCCCATTTATTCAATACACTGGTTCTGGTTCTACTCACACTATACCATTGAAAAAGCTAAAGGCCTCTGGCTAAAGGGATGAGTAGCTCCCTCTTTGCGTTTTTTAGTGGTCTATTTAGGTTTTTTATTTTATTTTTATTTAAAGGCACATATGAATAGTTTAAAGTTCATATAGCTGTATTGAGATTACCATGAAAAAGAGCAGTACTCTGCCCTAATCCTGATTATTATTTTTCAAAGACAAACACCTTAAGTATTCTTTTATTACCTTCTGGTATTTGCCTCCATTATTTATATAATATGCCTATTCTTAATATTTCAGTTGTGATACTATCTTATCTGTCAAGGAATTTTTACTATGGTAAATGAGGATTTAGCTCTTCCACATCACACTACAATAGTTTTCCAGCTTTTGGTTAAATCAGTATTCTGAGTTCATGGTACTAGCTAAATGTCATTCCTCATAGTGTACCATAGTTTTCTTTCTTATATGCCTTTTTTCCCCCTCTCAGTTTTGCCTAATTTGTTTGCTGCTTTTCCTATAGACCTTATCATTAATTCCCCAAATCTCTAATCACAAACTATTTCAATATGTATAAATATATAGTTGTTTTTTCTTTGAAATATTATTTTTCTCTGCTGAGGTACAGGAGACTAAACCCAGAGCATTGTTCCTACCAGGCAAGTGCTATACCACTGATCTATACCTCCCACTCCTCTGTGTGTGTGTGTGTGTGTGTGTGTGTGTGTGTGTGTGTGTGTGTGTATGTCTTTTTTTAAAGGAGATGAGGTCTCCCTATGTTTCCCAGGTTGGCCCTAAACTCCCAGTTTCAAGCAGCCCTCTGCTTTGCCTCAGTCTCCTGACTAGGACCACAGAATATGCCTCCACACCTAGCTCTATATTCTTAACTTCTAAGAGCTAGCTCTTACATTCTGAATGGCACTTTTTTTTAGAAAAAAAAATATAATTTTATATCCTTAATGTTATCAGTTTTTAAAGTTTCTTTGCATCAATTTTTTCCTCGTTTACACCTTTGTCTCATATCAGAGATGTTCTTGAAACATGTGGTGTTTATTTTTCATCTACCTGTACTTAAGATTGAGCACTAAAAGCTGGTGGAAACTATTCTTGTTTGTGGATTTAGAATGAGATAGCTAATCAGTTTAGTACCTGAGTCAGGTCTCACTATGTAGCTCAGGCTGGCCTTGAACTGAAACTCAGGAATTCTGCCTCACCCTTCCAAGTGCCAGGATTACAGGTGTGTGTCGCCCCCACCCATTTGACAGATACCATCTAAAATTTTTATTCTAACTGCTCATCTACCATGTTTTATCTCCCCCACCCTGGGGAGTTTTTAATCTTTAAAAAATCCTTAAATGTCATTTGATAGAGTTTGGATAGGGGCTAGAAATTTTTGGCATGAAAGACAATGTAATGAGAATTTCATTACCAAATAAATTACTTTTGGGGTTTATCCATAGGTAATTGTTTTTATGCCTCACATCCCTGGAGTGTAAGCCATGGAGTGTCCTAAGTCATTATTTTGGCCTGTAATGCCAGCCACAAGTGCTCCTCCTATGGAGGGAGACTTATCTAGGATGCTATCTAAACCTCCTTTCCAAAGACTTTCTAACAACAGTTTTAATTATATCCTAAAAACAGGCTTGTTCCTGTTACTGTCCTCTTGGAAATCTTGAATGGCTTCTGGCCTTCATATTCCATTTTCAACTAACTCCTCATCAGGGCTTCTGTATCTGACTGCAAGCTGACTTTTACATGCACTTTGTTCCCTTCCATATCTGCATGTGGGCTGTTTCATGAGTACTCTCTTCCATGGGCACTTACGACACCGCACCCTTGGTCTTCCAGGTTCCCTTGACTGTAGGGCCTCTCCTGTGGTCTTTGTGAACCAATTATTCTCATTGTTTGAGCCATTTCTCCTCCAGAAAGTCTTCTCTCCCAACACTGTACTCAAGTAAATAATCCTTTTTTCTAAAGGCACCTTGTGGCATTAGTGATTACATTTGTGTCTCATGCTCTATGAACACAGGATCTAAGGTATCACCTGAGGTACTCTCAACCCCCTGCTCCTTTTTGGCAGCTCTGTTTGTCTCTGGATCCACAATGCCCTTTTTATCCATTGCCAGCAGACCTTATTGAGATCCCCAAGCTGATCAGAATACAAGTTAACTCTGGGCCTGTGTGGTCTTTCTCACACCAACACCAAGCCTTTCCACTCATAGATCTGTCCTAATTGTTAGAGGAAATGTTATTACCCCACAGACCTTGGGATCTGGCTTACTAAGTTGCCGTGGAAGGCTGGGACGATGATCCAGAAGTGTGGAGTCATCTCCCTTATGAGCCTTCTAGAAAAGGTCCAGCATCCTAAGTGTGAACGCAAAGCCAAACCTCTTGCATGCCTTCCTGGCTTATTGCAAACCCTGCCAGTAGAGTAGCACATTACATCACATTGTTGTCCATCGTTTTTACTTAACATTTTCCTTATCCTTTCTACTCTATTGTTAATATCTCAAATAAAATACCAGTGACTGAATCCTTGTTTCTGGCTGTGATTTATAGAGGATCTGAGAAATATTCAGAAACCAAGTAGTCATAAGACTTCAGTTGTTCAACCACACAGAGGGCAAGTAACTGCTGATCTCTTCCACTGATTTGACACGAAATTCTGCAAATATTTGTATCCTTTAAGAACAAATGTCACTTAGAACCAAGTAACAATATATCAAGAATTACAAGCCAGGCGTGGTGGTGCACTCGGGAGGCTGAGGCAGGAGAATTGCTGTGAGTTTGAGACCAGCCTGGGCTACACAATGAGTTCCAGGTCAGTCTCAACTACATAGTGAGACTCTGTCTCAAAAAAACAAACAAACAAACAAAAAACAAATTTCCATATCCCCAAGAGTAATGTAATCATGATGTACTGAAAACATGTACTAATGCAAAATAATTTAAAAAAGTATATGTGGTAAGTGGGTGATTAGAGTACCGTCTCTAGTTTGGCAAGAAAAAAAAGTTTTGGACAGAATGAGTCAAAAGATGGTGTTAACTACTCTGTACTTAAATGAGTACTGAATAGAGGATAAAGACAAGCTGAAGCAGCAGATACTTCCCAGAACATTGCAAATTGTCAAATTCACAGAATAAAGCAATACAATAACTAGTTTGACTTTTTTTTTTTTTTTTTTTTTTTTTTTGAGACAGGGTCTCACTATGTAGTTGAGACTGAGCTGGAACTTACTATGTAGCCCAGGCTGTTCTCAACTCACAGCATCCTTCTGCCTCAGCCTCCCGAGTGCTGGGATTACAGGCATGTGCCACCACGCCTGGCCAAATTTGACTTTTTAAAAAATGACAGATTTCACGATTATATTCACATGATAGAGGAATCTGTATTAACACTTCCAAGGTTAGACTAATTTTAAGACAAGTACAAATATTCATGTAAGTCTGTGTATAATGTTGGTAGGACGGTATTGATATCCTTATGAAAGTTCTCATTTAACACCTTGTCAAATTAGAGCTTTTGAACCATCTTGCCTGTGATGCATGATATAGCTAACCCTATAGGTACACGTAAAGGGATCATTACCTCTGAGATGACTTAAACAATATAATGCATCCCTTAGCATACAAGTCAGGAGTTGGACGTACACACGGGTTTGTAACCACCAGTGCAGTCAAATATCAACCCCTCCCCCCAATCTCACCACTGCTCTTGACAACTGCTAATCTGTTTTGTTTGTTTTTTGGTACTGGGGAGTAAACTCAGGCAGGACCTTGTACTTGCGAGGCAGGTGTGGCACCACTGAGCCAATTCCCCCAGCCCTGCTAATCTGATTCTGATCTCTAGTTTTGCCATATCTTACAATGTTATGTAAGTAGAAAAACTAGTGTGTATCCTTCCAAATGTGACTTCTATGATTTAGCATACTGTTTTTGAGATTCATCCACATCACTTAAGTGGATCAGCCATCCATTCCCTTTTTTGTTTTTTTTGGGGGGGTGTTTGAGACAGGGTCTCACTATGTAGCACAGGCTGGTCTTGAATTCACAGTGATCCTCCTGCCTTAGCCTCCCGAGTGCTGGGATTACAGGTGTGCGCCACCATGCCCGGCTTCATCCATTCCCTTTTTTGTTTTTTTTGGGGGGGTGTTTGAGACAGGGTCTCACTATGTAGCACAGGCTGGTCTTGAATTCACAGTGATCCTCCTGCCTTAGCCTCCCGAGTGCTGGGATTACAGGTGTGCGCCACCATGCCCGGCTTCATCCATTCCCTTTTGTTGCTAAATTAGTATTCCCTTATATGCCATGACGTGTTACCCATTTACCAGCTGAAGGATATTAGGTTTCCATTTTTGAATTTTGAACAAAGCTGCTATAAACATTTTTTGCATTTGAGTTTTTACCTGAGCATCTCTTTATTTCTCCTGGAGTAAGTTGCTGCAAGATTGTTGTGTTTTGTTTCTTTGTTTTTGTTTTGTTTGCCAATATGAAGATTGAACCCAGGGCCTTCACACGGGGCTGCATCCCCATCCCTTGTTATTTTTTTATTTTGATAAAGAGTCTCACTAAGTTTCCCAGGCTGTTTTAACTTGCCATTCTCCTGCTTCAATTTCACAGAGTACAGGGATTTATTTTAGCCATTGTCATAAAGAGATGTAGTGTCTTACTGTTTTAAAAACAGCTTTAGAGACGTAGTTGACAATATAATACACTGTACCTATTGGTACAGTAATCAGTTAGATACATTGACCTGTATGCGTCCATTACCACAATCAAAGTAGAAGATATCTACTACCCCAATGTTTCCTCATGCTCCTTTGTAAGCCCTTTTCACACCAGGTCCCCTATCCCAGCAACCACTGATCTGCTGTCACTATAGATGAACTTTATATAAATGGAATCATATTGTATATACTCCTGTTTGTGTGTGTGTGTGGTTGTTTTGGTGCCAAGAATTGAACTCAGACCTTGTACTTGACAGACAGGTTGGGTGTCACTGAGCTACATTCCCAGCCCTGTATGTGCTCTCCTTAGTTCAAGTGCTTTTATTCAGCATTTTGAGATTTATCCATGTTACTGTATGTAGCAATAGCAGATTCCTTTTATTAATAAATTGTATTTTATTGTAGGTACCTTTGTATACATGACAGTTTATCCATTCACTTGATGAACATGTGCGATTTTTCCAGCTGTTTATTTTGAGACAGGATCTCACGATGTAGCCCAGGCTGGCCTCAAACTCTTGGAGATCCTCCGCCTCAGCCTCCCAAGTGCTGGGATTATAGGCATGTGTCACTACACCCAGCATTCCAGCTTTTGAAGTTACAAATGAGCTGTTATGTATGCACTGAAGACTTTTTTAGTGTGCTTCAACTTTATCGAGGCACAGTTTATAAAATGTACTTTTCTAAAGGGCTTTGACATGTTCCTGAGACTGTTAACACATCAAGATACAGAATGCTGTCTTCACCGTAAAGTTTCATTCCACCATTCCACACAATCAGTAATTTGCTTTTAGTCACTCTAAAATTGTCATTCTGAGAATTTTGTGGAAATTGAGCCCTACAGTACTGTAATTTATTTTCTCACTGGTTTTGATGAGCATATTTTTGTAGATTCATTGATGTTTGAACAATCTGTAGTTCATTTTCTTTTTATTACTGAGTAGTATTTCATTGTATGAATTTTCTACAATTTATCCATTGACAAACTGTTGGGCTTTTATAAATCTCATCTGTTACAAGTAAAGTTGATATGAACATTCATATATAAGCAGCAGGACAGTTCATTGTTTCAAATGACCCTTCTTTGTTCGATGTTTCTAAACCATCCTATTTAGAGGAGTTGCACCTGCAGCCTCGCCTTGTCCCTCATTTTCCTATTTTTTTCCATAGTACATATGCACCAGACAGCTATATTTTTATTTACCTTTCCTTGCAAAGTATTAAGAGAAGCCCCAACCATAATTAAAGGGACATTACTTCCTAGCCTCTTTACCCTCCCTTGGAGGCTTATACAAAGATTACACATCAAATTTCAAAGTCTACTCTAAAAGAAGAGGCTGGCTTCATCCCTGTTTGCGTCTTATGTCCCAGAAGCAAATCACTGAGTGGAGGCAGCTCTATGACTCTCCTTAAGTGACTGGCTGCTGGGAAAGCACTAAGCAAACTTGAGTCCAGTCTGTCTCGACAACGAATTGTGGGATCTCGAGAAATGGAAACATAGTAGAGTCTATCAACACTTCGTTTTTTTGTTTTCTTTTTCGTACCGGGGATCGAACTCAGGACCTCGCCTTTGCGAGGCAGGCGGCGGCACCACTAAGCTAAACTCTCGGCCCAACACTGCTTTATATAGGAAGGACTCGAGGCGTCTCGCCAGCCACAGAAATTAAACCCTCAGTTTCCGGCTGGGGCAGGAGGGTCCTTTCCGCCTCCGCCGGAAGTGATGGAATAGCACCTGCTATTCTTCCAGTCGGCTAACAGGACTCAGACAGACTTGTAGGTTGGGTCAGGGAACGGACCAATGGGACTATGACTGCAGCGATCTAGAATGTGATCACAGCCGGCTTCTCCGGAAATAAGATCCGGGAGGGCGGGAACTGGGCACCACTTCCGGAAGTTGAGGGATTTGTTTCCGAGGGAAACAGTCTTCAGTAAGGACCGGGATCGGACCGTGAGTTTTGCGTCCGATGTAGCGGGCGGGGTTGTGGGGGAGGCCTCAGTCCCCGTAGCTTTAACAGTTTTCTGGGGGTGATACCAGCGTTTCTTCAGCCGTTATTCACCACCTGCTTACCAAGATGCCCTGGGAATGCACACGGAAATGATGGCGTCTTCCCTCCGAGAAACAACAGTTTAGCGAGGAGACAAACGAATAGGCCCATAGGGCGCCGTGGCTGTGAACCTAGGAGTTCGAGGCCAGCCTGTATCACACAGTGAGACATTGTCTCAAACGGAACAACACGAATAGGCACATGATTAACGTGCTCGGTATTAAAAAGGAGCTGGTATAACAGATAGGAAGCCCGGGCTCTTGTTGCTCTAGTAAATGGACTCTGAAGGAGGGAGGAAGGCATAAGTCATCAAAAGACTTGAAAGAACACAGGAACTACCTTACCTGTTCAATGAGTTTGTGACTGGAGTCTGATCGTGGTAGAAGAGGTAAACAACGCCCAGATCCTAGAGACGGAATAACAACATAAAGTTGGGACTTAGGTCGAGAACACCAGAACTTCACAGTCTGAAATATGTTTTGAAACATATCACTATGACTGCGGAGGAGGACTCTACCGCTATAGAGGAGGAAGTGGTAGAGGGAGGTGTGGCAGAGAAATGGATAGATCAAAATTTATTTAGGAGGTAAACATTCAGGACTACAGGTATTAGATATGGGGTTTGAAAGGTGTATCTGTCCATTTTCTGTTGCTAATAACATCTTGGAGTGAATTATAAAATGGTTAATTTTGTCTAGTGGTTGTGGTGCAGGGACAGCATTTAGTTGTGGCATTGCTGAACATAGCCTTGAGGGAAGCTGCTTAGGGTGTCACATGGCAAGAGACAGGAGTACACGAGGTGACCTAGCCAAATTGGCTTTTAGAGCTGACCCACTGGGGAGATAAACCATCGATGCATTTATGAGGGCACAGTCCTATCACCTTTTGTGTCTGTGTGTGTGTGTGTGTGTGTGTGTGTGTGTGTGTGTTTTGTACCAGGAATTGGACTTGGGCCCTTAGCTTGTGAGGCATGCGGAGGAACCACTGAGCTAAATCCCCAGCTCCCTAATCACCTTTTGAAAGCTCCACCTGTTCCCACCTCTAAATATATCTTATGATGGAAATTAAATTTCAACATGAGTTTCACAGAGGAGAAACCATATATTATCCAGCAGTAATTCTAAATTTTCTTGCCTAAGTAAGTGAATATTTACACTAAGCCAAAACAAACTATTGTGGGGTTTTCTAGGATTAAAAGAATAGACAAGAGCTGGTGATTTACCTCAGTGGTGCTGCACTTGCCTTACAAACAAGCCCTGAGTTTGAGCCCCAGTACCAAAAAAAAAAAAAAAAAAAAAAAAAAAAAAAAAATTTTTCC